CCAAACGACGCGCACGTCTATTCACTCTTCGTAGTGACATTCTTTATAGACGAAACTACGAGCCCCAAGGACGACCATGGCTCCTTGTAATTCCAAGACACTTACAAAAGAAAATAATAGCGGCAAATCACGACGACCCCACAGCCGGACACCTTGGATTCGCTAAAACTTATTTCAGAATCCGTGAAAAATTTTTCTGGACCGGCATGCACCGCACTATTAATAAGTATGTGCGCGCATGCCATTTATGTCAAGCAAAGAAACGACCAACAACTGCACCTCCTGGACCACTCAGGCCGCTTTCTCCACCAAGCCACCCATTTCAGCGCATAGGACTCGACTTCCTCGGTCCGTTCCACCAGTCGCAAGAATAGAGTCGATGGATGATTGTCGCTATCGACCACCTAACCCGGTATGCTGAAACGCAAGCGCTCCCCGCCGCCACAGCTCTTCATGCAGCCCATTTTTTTCTTCATTCCGTCCTCCTCCGACATGGCGCCCCCCAATCTATTATCACGGACCGCGGCACGCCGTTTGTAGCAAGCCTTCTTCGAGAAGTCTGCCGCCTTGCAAACACAATTCATAACGTCACCGCTGCATATCATCCGCAAACAAATGGCTTGGTGGAACGGTTCAACCACACACTGACCGATATGGTCTCCATGTATATCACAGATGACCGAGACAACTGGGATTTAATTTTACCATACGTTACATACGCCTACAATACGAGCCGTCAAGCCACCACCGGTTACTCTCCGTATCACCTCTTGTATGCACGCGAGCCACTGTCTACAATCGACACGCTTCTGCCATACATAGACGACTCTTCTCTGGATGTTTACACCCAGACCATCCTTTACCGCGCGGAAGAAGCTCGGCAACTTTCCCGCATTCGAACATTAGAATCACAACAGCAACAAACTACGCGTCACGCCGAGCACCACACTCCCGTTACCTACAACATTGGTGACGAGGTTCTCATTTGGACGCCCTCTCGCAAACCAGAAAAATGCGAAAAGTTCCAAAAACAATTCCGAGGCCCCTTTCGCATCTCTCGCCAGCTGTCCACAACGAACTATGAAGTGACTCCAGTCATTCCCCCCCGCGACAACCGCTCCAAACCTACTGATGTCGTCCACGTCGCTCGACTGAAGCGCTACCACCGCCAAGTCCCCTAGCACCATGGCCGGCGGACCGGCCCTTTTTCAACGGGGAGACAGCTGTTAGAAAGGAAGAAGTGAGGCTAAGCCAAAAAGGCCCCGCGCATCTCGAGCAGCAGCGGAAACGCTCAAGCTGCGCTCGGACGATTGCAACAACGATTCTCCTGGCGACACCATCATAATCAAATCTCTCTTCATTGTATTAAACTCATCTATTCACCAAGAGCCTGACAATATGTATACCCTTCCTGACCTTCGCTTTTGGATCGATTATACTATGATAATAAATTAACGATACAAAACCAATGATACAGAAATCAATTTCCATCCCATTGTCAGTGTGTGCGCCTATCGCTCCCCAGGGGATATTCTTAAGATTTTGTTTACAAAAGACGTTCTTAAGAAGGAAAACAAAGTATAACTATGTATATCTACACGTACAATAGTAAGTATACGTAATTCCCCGCAAACTTACGCGTTTAAAAAAGCGTAGGCTCGTTTCTTTGTCTGGCCAACTTCCTTATAAAATAAGTTGTAATATTGTGCCGTACCTAATAAAAACGTGAATGGACGTATTTTGAAACTTCTGAAGCGTTCCCTTTTTCTGCAGGGTGAATGGAGCCAGAGAGTTTCGAAATTCATTTTTACGTTGCCACACGAATATGACGTTATTTGCTGATGCCATGAGGCGTAAGGTGCGAAGCAGTGCGATTCCTGATATGTACTCGACTTGAGCTCCGCACCTTCGGAGGTTCCTCAGTTCTTTTCACTGCACTCGAGACATTAGTCACTATTGCTCCTTTATTTAGCTTGACCAATAAAAACGGCGATCGGCATCGTGCGGGCAGTGTCTCAGTGACAAAACGATGTCCATCGCTTTTGCCGCTGAGACCGCTGCTGCACTGCAAAGTCTTCGGCTTCATTTTCCTACAGAACTCGGATACTGTCAATCACCGCGAATAACAGAAGGATCCCAACCAATGACGAAGCTTATATATATATATATATATATATAAAAGAAAAAACTACGTGCGCGGGACAATGAATGTCCCGCGCATTTAGGGGGGCAATGAATGTCCCCCTAAATGCCCCGTGTCACATGGCATGCTTTTTTTTTTTTTGTTTAATCGTATTTTCAGCTTCCTCATTCGCTGGGATTCTTTTCTTGTTTATGGTGATTGGCTGTCTCCGTGCCCTGCAGGAAAGTGAACTCACAGACATCTTTTCTTTTTAGAGCGTGGCACATGGCGCTGATAGTCCTTGGTTGAACTGATAAAAATATCAATGTGGAGGGTTGAACGTGTTGGTTTCTAATTTACGATAACGAAAGAGGAACATGGAAGAGAATTCTTAAAAACGTAAACGTTTTGTTGACGTTTTGTTGCAACGTTTTGTTAAAACGTTACAACGTTTTGTTCAAAGTTGAAAGCCTGTGTCGTCTGTTTTCTTCCATGTCCCTTTTCGTTATCGTAAAATACCAATGGTTTGGTGTTAATTCGAGTGCATTGCGGATAGCGACCATTCAGGAGCTGTTCGTGTAGGCCAGGGTCGATAATACGCTGCTGCTCCTACGGAACTTGACCTTTGGAAAATCGCGACTCCACCCAGAGAATGAGCCCGAGCGCTACAGTCGATACTGCTGTATAGCACTGACCGACCAGTGTCATCATCGAAGCTCTTACTTAATCACTATGGCACAATGCTCGCCCATTAAAGCATTTTATGTCGGGGATTTGTTCTTAGGACGAAATGGCTTCCTGCGTAAAAGACCGCGACGATACAAGAAAGCTTGATGGAAGCGGTTGCGCGTGACATTATAGAAGGAACATGATTTTCTCTTTCATGTAAATTAATCGTCATCGATCCGTCATTTTTGGTATGTTTTTAGTACAGGGTGACATCTCTGTGTGCGTATGCAAAACGGTTAGTATACAGGCTTTTGCAGGCACCTGAATGTTTTCTGTTGCGGCGTACTTTGATTGTTTCATTGATGCAGCTAGCTAAATATCGCTCTGTCTTTGAGTGCAATTCGAGAGTATTGGTAATCAGCTTAACTTAGGAAGGTACACAGTGGCGTTATGACATTTATGCGATGTCTTCAGGACACTTAACGTTTGCACTTGTATCCACCCGCCTTCGGGTCATCTTAGACGAAGTGGATTATGGTACCTCAAAAGTAATAAATAAATAATATAAATAAATAAATTTGGTGTGCTCGTACTAAAGGTACATTTAGTCAGATTAGGGCGACTAGCTGTACACTGTTACGTTATTGTTGCATGATCTGGCTTGCGGCCTTTGTTGTGAGCCAGTACGACGCAAACTGGTGTAGTCTAATGACGCATATAAAACTTCAATAATTGTGCGACGCCATCTTGAAAAACGGTGATCCTGCCTCCAACACTTTCAATGTAGGGGTTACATGCTTCGTTTTGAAGAAAGTGGAAGCAAATAAATAGTAACGAAATAATATGATTTTAGAAGTGAATTTCACAGCAGCATTTTGCTGAAGGACTTGGCTTCTTTGAAGAAGCCAAGTCCTCCGAGCTTTGAGGCCTTTAGGAGATTAATTTTTCAAGTTTCTCATTTCAGCCTCGATGAGTTTTATAAGCATGCAGTGTTTCCTGAGGATACCGTGACTCGAGGCATGACATCTAGAATACGTACACAACAGAAACTACTCAAGCGTATAGTGATATCAATGGACTGCTCAGTTTTCAAGACTGGATCGAGTGTCTTACAGTCCTCCTCTGGAGGAGGTGAATACCAGTAAACGGTAATGGTATAGCGATCTTGATAAAGGAGCCTCCTTGAAGCCCCAGAGCGTTTTTTGGACACATCTCTGAGGCTTTTAAAAGATCCACGCTTCAAGTTCCTCATACTAACCTCGACCACCATCGTCTTTAGGGAGGATACAGCGATGCTGGGCACGACAGAACACGTGTACAATAACAACTGGATAAGCGCATGGCTGCATTGCAACAAAATACTTTGTTTTTAAGAGTAGAGTGCGTGACTCACTCTTCTCCACGGGAAAAGGTAAACGCCAGTAAATGGTTATGGTGCAGCCACAGTGAAAAAGGACTCTCCAGGAAACCTGAGAGCGCCTACTGACGTTCCACTAAAAGACGTAGCGAGGAAGAAGTTCCTTTTTAGCAAAACTTCAACGTACGCTCTTGGGCTTCTAGATCATTAACTTTTGAAGATCCTAGCACATGCCAGCCTCGACCGCCATTGTGTTTTGTGAGAAGAGTGATGGCGTGACAGAACGCGTACGTAAAGCAACACCCATACACGCACAAAAAAAAGTTTCTGAAAGGTGTTTGACGCCCCAAGAACTTTTTCAGCTCGTAAATAACGGTTTCGCCTCAAGCACCATCGCCCCCTGGCGCACTAGAAAGGCAACTGGGCGATGAAGAGCTCTTTCGCATTTTCGCGGAGGACCCTTTTAGGGGGTGCTTAAAATAACATCTTACGGTGTAAAATATGGACAAGCCGAAGAACCCCTAAGAATTATTTTAGGACCAGATCTTTTTTTAGTGTATGGTAATGGTGATGCGAGCTGAAACTCCCGATCCGGTCGTTTTTGGCGTCTGTGGTTTCCACAAGTTCTATTATCTCTTAGTTTGTCCAGCAGTCCGAAGAATGAGACCTCAACTTCGCATTCCATTAGCTGTTCAAACCACAGCTCTCTAAAAGAAAAAACTGGCACGTAGACCAAGGAAGTCCAAAGGACTGTTTCAGTCCATATTGTCCGCGGTAGTATACGTCTGTCCCAGTGGACAATTTCCAAGGGTCCAGTGTCTCACCCTTCCGCCTTGCTTGTTGACTGTCCAGGACCGGCGCCGACTATGCGTACATCATGGAGGCGTTTGGGCCCTTCGTGGCCTTCCTCCGTCTCTGGGTGGAGTGCATGATCGTGCGGCCCTGCTCGCAGGCCATCGTGGCGCTCACCTTCTCCTTCTACGTGCTCCGACCCATCTTCCCGGACTGCGACCCACCGGACCCTGCGGTCAGGGCCCTCGCCTTCGTCTGCATCGGTGAGTTGACGCACTCCGAACGCGGATTATTCGCGGCCGGCAACGGTCCGCCACCAAAGACCGCGAATATGGCTGGGTTGGTCCGACGGATATATACGTGCGCTTTGTCTGTTTGTTTTCTATGCACTGATTCGAAGACTGCACGTCTTTCGGATTTAAACCTAAGTCATTGACTCTATTGAGTGTATGTAGACTAGACTTCATATAGGTTTTATACAATCGGCTATGTGGTCTGTATATGGAATTATTACATAATTAGTGTCTATACGTGTATGCTGCAAATCCATGGCTTGCATTGAAGTCGCATCAGCGGCCATTCTAGTAGCCCTGCCGAGGAGCGGAGCGGCGTACATTTTGCACTACCGAATTTGTTTTCCTTGGCAAGAACACGCATAGGAATGATCACCAGCATGGTAGGGTCAGTTCACATTCACATGCAAGTCATGTAAACTGTATTTAGGAGGTGTATAGGCTGCATGTAGGCTTGTGCCTCGTAGTACTAGCCTGATTGTAGAAAGCATATCTGCATGCTTTATATGAGCAATATCTATGCTGTTTGTGACAATGCTTAGGCTGTATGTACTGTAGACCACGTAGCCGGCATCTAGTTTATTGTATTACACGCTGTGTGTAGACTATATAGGATATGTGCTGGTTGCTAGGTTCTAAGTAGGTTGTAAGTAGGCTGTAAATAGGCTGTCTGTAGGCTATATGTGGGTGGCGTCTAGGCAGTATGTAGGCTGAATTCAGGCTCTATGTAATCACACCGAGACTGTATTTAATTTCATGTACGCTCGTAATTCCGCGCGTCTCTAACGCGGCAGTGTGCGTCTTTTTCGATGTGCGCTCAAGTGGTATCATTCGCGGCAACTAATCTGGCCACGTGGGGCAACATGGAGTGGTCCGGTCGAGGGGTTCTCTCCGGCGGACCACTCCGCTTTGTTTTTTTACAACTCATAAGTTGTTTAAAAAGTTGTTAGAATGGACTGTCACATCATCTATCGTTGCCATTTGGCAGTCGGTTTCGTAACTTTGTGTATGCTGGATGCACCTTAGGCGACATCTTAACCCTTTCGGCGAGCACTCACTGGGCTAGCTCATATTGCCGCTGAGTGTATACATGCATATATCCTCGTGTCTACTCTATGTGTGGGTGTATCTAGCATTGGTGCGGGTGTTATGTTCCATCCGTTTAGGATTTTAAGCTACGACGTTTAATCAATACCTGACGCTGCTAATAAAAATTAAAAAAAATATAATTTCTAAAAAAGAATGCGCTATATAAAAACATTACATGTATATGACTCGAATAAAGTTTGGGCAACATGCGCGTTTGCAATGCATTTGATTTGACCCAATTTCTGGTCTGACTTTGACTTGCTCGTTAACACAATCAGCTAAACCAACTGCTAACCCCTCGCCACATTCCGAAGGAACTTGTAACGTTGTGTACACGATGCGTAACAACTTTCGCCAACCTATACGCCATTACCAAGGGGATACACTACACACAGCGATTGAGCAGGGAGCCTTTCAATGTACTAGTATACGCACCTGATTTTAAAGCTACTATTTTATTGCGCTTTACTTTCCTGTACCTCTACGTTTAACAGGTTTTGTGGTGTTGTCAAAATCATTTCGGCAAAAAAAAAAAAAAGTTAGGGTTTTATTTTTTGTTTGTTTTTCCAGAGTATATGTGTATCGTAGCACATCTTCGTTTCCTTCCGTTGAACTTTGAGGGAAACTGCATTTTCGCTTTCGAAATGTCATGTATTCCGTCAACCTCGATGCAACTCGAGCGTTGTTGACCTCCTTGGTTTCCAAGAATTTTTTTTGTTGTAGGATACGACGTTTGCGCAACATTATTGTTCAATCGAAATACCGAAAAAGAAGAAAAAAGCCTTCCCTTGCCGTGCTTTCTAAATCAGCTGCGGCGACAGCTGAGGCTTTACACACGTAAAGCCTCAGCTTTCCCCGCTAGACTCGGAGGGGAAACGCTTCCCGCTAACTTTAGCGGATACAGTTCCCCACCCAATGTAGCGCGAAAAACGTGACGCCATGTGACGTCCCAGTGTTCAGTGACGCTACAATTTTCCCGCTAAATGTAGCGGAGAAAGCGTGACGTCCCACGGCCTGACGTCACCTTACACCGTGACGTCACGCGAAGCGTTTCCCCGCTAAATTTAGCGCGTAAAATTTCTCGCCAACTTCAGCGGAGGAGGAACGGTGGCGTCACGTGGCGCGACGTCACTTCATCGGCCCGACATCACAGTGCCACGTGACGCCGTGGTCACCACTAACGAGGCTATGACGCGTCGGTGGATGGGGTCCATATCACAAGAGCGAATGACATTTTAGCGAACGGCGACATTTGAGCGAATGGTCGTTTTAGCGAATAACGGGGGCGCGCGTTAACCTATCCGTCGCGCTGCGCTTTACGCCGCTTCGCGGCGACAGTCTGCGGCAACTCATTACAAAAATATGAACTCACTTGGCCCACCCGAAAACGCCGCTTCGCGGCGTCCGGCTATTCGCTAAAGTGTCGTTCGATGAAACGTGGGCGTTCGCTAAAACGGCATTCGATCAAGTGAGTGCCTCCCGCTCCTACGTATCATACAAAAGGACGATCTGCAAACGCTGGAGAGTTTTAGCGAACTGTTTTTGCTCGTCCGGTATGCGATTCGATGGGGCCCTCCGGTACGAACTGCGTTTGTGCGAGTCTTCTGCGCTAGCGCATGCGCAGTTTGTAGCGGAGCGCCCATCGTACTGTATCGGAGGGGAGAAAGCAGTTCCCTAAAACTCTCTAGCGTCTGCAAACTGTATTTTGTGTTCAATGTTCGAGCAGTGCGAACGCGACCTTAGAGTGACTAGGTACACGCGCGTACACGGAGCTGGCCGGCCGGATCTCTCTGGCGAGGTCAAACGACTTCGTCGTTGTGAACCGGCGTCCGATCGGGCAAGTCTAATTGCACCGTTTATAAATGCGGCGCCGCACCTTCGCAGCCCCCATGTGCCGAGTTTCTGCTGCATTCGATACTATACGGCTAGATTGGATAACGAGCCGACCCGCTGACATAGATAGACGACCATGCCGTTTGTTATACCCATGGGATACGGCGTGGAGGCAGCGGCGGCTCGACGGGGTCTGGCATTCGGTGTTTGCTCGTGTTCAGCGTTGCTTTTTGTTTCTTATTAGGCTTAATTTCAGTAGCTGAGTACGATATGTGTTTGTGTGGATTGTAATGGTATAGGGCAACACCGCGACGGTATATATGGCGTTGCATAAAGTGCCTTTTGTATAGGTAGCGACCGTTTGTGCTGCGTGCGTTCTGCTAGTTCTAATAGATGCATACGTAACCGTTCCTATAACGTGTGCAAATTGATGAGACTGCTTAGAAAACGACTGTAGCATTACAGCATGTTCGCGCGAATTTAAATGCATGCCACTTCTGAGTTAGTGTATAATACGCTCTAAAATTGGACATTAATTACTGCCATTAAGAAAATCGAATCAAATCAGTATATTAAAAGTTGTATGCGCGGTTCTTTTTCGCATTTTTTTTCTTAATATTTTTTGATTTTATAAGCTTTCTTTTTCTCGTTTTGAATGCTTATTGAGAGATTAAAAAAAAGATTAACTCGGTTTTGGATTTTCGGTTGCCTCGCCCGTTTTACATGGTGCGATTCGGCTTGCGATTTTCGATCAAAACGTCGCTCATGTGAAAAAGAAAAGAGAGGTGGGTGGCAGATGAAATGCATGCTCTGTCCTTGTATTCTTTTCTTTTTTTTTTGTACTAGATTGCAAGTTGCAGAGCAAAATACCCCCGTATGAAACGAGGACTTTAAGTAGAATCCCTCGATAGACACTCGCAGTTCCGACACCCGTTTCATCCCATTGTTTTGCGCCGCTTCGATGGTCGCTCGACCTCTGCCGTCGCCTGGCGTCTGTTTACGGCAGAACAACTCGTTATTGCCGCCATGCTGTGGCGTGCATTCTTGCGGGCGCCAACGAACGTGCTTTAAAAAGGCAACTGGAGTTTAGATTAGAAGTTACCGGCGATTCCGTATTGTTCCGTCGCAGGATAAAAAAAGAAAAAGAGGAAGTCCAAAAAAGCGGTGGCAGCTGGCAACACTGACTCTATTTCTCTTTATGAATTTATTGATTTATGCTACACTTCCCATGGAAAATTTTGTGAGGGTGGAGCCAGCAAAATGTGGAACAATGTTGCCTATCGTCTTTGAAGACAAAAAAAAAAAAAAAAAGAAACAGCTGCAAGGAGGCTCAACCTGCAGACAAACGAAACAATAGAAACACGCACACGCACACGCACGCACACATACAGACGCACAACAATGGTCCCCTCAATGGCCAATGCGCCAAGTCTCTGTTTTTGCGGGAAAAAAAATCCGCTGACGAACGCTCCCGCACTGCTTGACATCATGCACATGGTGCCTTCGCGTGAGTTGCTTAGCCATTAAAAAAGTTTCGCTTTAGGGTAATGACAGGTCAGCCATTGTGGTGCTTAAAGGCCATTGTTGTCCGTTATCTGAAGTTTCAACTAAAATCGCAGGAGCCGCTTTTCCGCCCTCCAAAAAATGTTAAAACAGTCCGTGAAAGGGCAATACGATATCGACTGAGCTTCCCGACACCACATTTAAAGTTAGGAGAGTCGCGCCGCCATTTTAGTGCACTAAACACAAAAATGGCGGCGTCGAAAAAACAAAACAAAAATACTTTTAGCCTTTTTATTTTGGTGAAGAAAGACCAGTGAAGCTATACAATGGTGGGAATGAAGTAATGGACGGCCACAAGTCGGCAAGCCAGAGTGGGAAGCCTCGAAAGGTTGCCGCCATCTATGAGCGACGGCGGCAACCAGACAACCGGCAAGCTGGTTTTCTGGTTGCCACCATCGCTCATAGATGGCGGTAGCAATCCAGAGTTTTGTGTCGAGATTTGTTTGCCCACGGACTGGATACTGGGAAAACTAGCCCTTAACAGC